CTGAAAATAATCAATAGAATTTTTTTAAAAAACACACAAAATAAGCATCTCTCTCAAAGTATTAAAGGCATTAATATCATTCAAATATTTAATTATTAGGAGAACAAAAAACTGTTCAAAGAAAACCAACGTCTACTAAAAAATTTTGAAGTCCATTTTATCCTTAAAATGGCAACTTTCTGCTAAAAACACAGGAAGGGAAACACAACTGTCATTAACTTTTATTTCTTACATTAACCCAACATGAAAGTGTATCAGATCAATTTAAGAAGGCATTGAAATAGACCTTACAACACACTGATCTTGCATCATATCATAAAATACAACTTATCCTGGATCGGTTCTAAATTTTCACGAATTAAACTATGTCAAAAATTGTCCTAAGGGCTCATTTGGCAGCAAATCAAGTTACTACTGCAGATGAGAGAATCCCAAGTGAAAAACAACTGCTAGGGGAAAATATCTGTAGCAGAGAAACAGAAGGCTTCTGTTGATAAAACTAAGATCTATAAAAATGTGAAGAGAATGGAGTGGAAGAGGTAGGAAGTAATACGATAGAGCAAAAGAGCAGTGAACACAGGAGTTTAAGATACAGCAATTTCAGCTTAACCAAAGCAGATAAGAATAGCACCTAGAAATGGGTTTAGTGAGAGTTCACACCCATTCCCACTTCCACTATGGAGATATGTGATATTATTGCACGATAACATGCAAAGAGAGAATCTTCTCCCTACTTTGATAAACAATATGCTAAATAAATACCATAAAAATGTCTAATGAAAATTTCATATTTTAATAAGAATAAATTCAAGAATGAATAAACACTTGGCTCAACAAGGATAATTATTGTTTAAAATCACAATAAGTCCAGCTCTTTCTTCATACCTCTCATACATACCTATGTAACAATGAAGAGAGAAAAAGATTCAAGATGATGGACAGTGCTCCCTGCAGAGTCAATCTAGGTTAAATTTTAAAATATCTTCCTTATATTATATAAAAAGTAGAGATAGTACACTTAGCCAATTAAAAACATAATGCACATATAATAACTTGTTTGGCTAGGTGTCTGTCACATTCAAAAATACATATCTTAATACTAACAGTTTTAAGAGATTTAAAAGCAAGAAAAATTGTTTCTCTAAGTAAATAGGTTTATAAGGAAAATTACATAATGCATATACTTTAGTATCATACAAATGCATACTTATTCTGCTAATGAGAACTTGTTGATTCTTTAAAACTTTGATCCATTACATCAATTCATTGTTTAAAAAAGAATAAAGAGAAAGAGGGAGGGAGAAGAAGAAAATGGGAAAGAAGAAAGCGAGGAAGTTTCTCTGATACTTTCTTATACAGTATTATAATTTTCAATAATGTATCAGGAATTTCTGCAACAGTTCTTTAAAGGTAAGAACTTTTAAGAAATTCAGTCTATTGGGTTTAGAAACCTTAAGTTCACCCTGCTAAGTTATACCTGTAACATCAATAGTGCTTCCTCCTCTTCCTTCCCACATATATTTTTATTTATTTATTTCTCTGTCTTCTCCCTCTCCTCCTTCTCTCTCCCATTCTCTCCCTCTCACTTCTTTTTTCTCTTCTCTCTCTCTTTTTCTTTCTCTCTCTCTCTCACACTATTTAATTCAATTATTAGTCTGAAATAAGACAGCTCAAAGGGAACTGCCTAGAGAAACAGCAGAAAGAATAGCAGAAAGAAACAGCAGAAAGCCACATCGTTTATTGGCTGTCTTCCTCAAATCATTCTTGTTCTTGCTAAACCAGCTGTGTCAGATCTGGACAAGTGTGGCTCCAAAATATCACAGAGAGTTTACTTCTCTCAGGGGTATTATAAGAAACAAGAGGAGAAAGAAACAATCCCAGTACGCAAAAAGCACAGCTGTAGGTGTTTCAAAGGTTTTACATAGCATATCTCCATAGATATCGGCTTGGGTAAAGCATCTCAGGGATTATAATTTTCCTCAGTGCATCTTCCAAATCTATAGGTAGAAGGATTAAACATCATGCAGAGCCAGGTTGCGCTTTACAGTTTACCCAAAGCTTTAGTAGCAGATTTTGGCAGTTTACAAAACTAAACCATATTGGAATATATGTTAGCCCAGCAGAGTGAAAAAGTGATTGTATAAATTTTAATTCTAAGCTTGAGAAACTTTTTATAGTTGATGTCATCTTCTCTGTCATGTTGAAACAAAAACAAACAAACAAAAAAATACCAAACTGGCTTCATCAGGATATTCTGGAGCAAAGTTAACCCAGAGTAGATCGAGAGTATATTGAATCCCCAAAGAATGACCCATAACTGTGCTTCAGGAACACACTGGATCTTGACCAATTCCAATAATGAAAACTGGGAAGAGAAAAGCAGGTGTCTGCCTCATTTGGGAACTTGCCGATCATGTTACTGGATAATGTATACATCCAGAAAAACATAACAGTTGTCAAATTTATGTTTTATCAGAAAAGTGAAGATTTATACAAGAATAAATCCAAATATGAAATCTGTTTTTAATCAAAAGATAAACTATAAGTCTATGATTTTGTTCAGTGCAAACTAAATTGCATTATTATCTTTTACTAATATATAATTAGCTTGATAAATGTTAAGTCCATGGGGAAGAGCACCATTGTCCAAGTTTCTTTTTTTAAAGATTGCTTAAAAGCAACTTTACAAGCCAAGAAAATAAGCTAAAGAAAATCCCAAATCAGTGGTACTCTATTCTTATTACAAATAATGATGTAAACAACCTAATTTATGAAATCACAAATGTCTATAAATACTATAGTCTATTTCACTTTAGCAAAATATTACTGAATGATGTACCACTGAAACGATATTATTATAATTATTTCTCCAAAGTGAAGCAAAATTCTACTGTCAAATGGAATACAATTTAAATTACAAATACTAGAACCAAGAAAAAGGAGAAACATAGAGGAAGCTCATAGCCCACCTTTCTTCTTGATTGGCATTCTTGGGTCTTTCCACTGCTACAGGATTCAAGATCTCTTTTCAGGTCTCACCTTTATCCAGCTGGATTGAGGCCAAAAACCAGGTAACTGTTGCAAATCACTTCACTGTTCAGTTTTGAAATCCAGGCTGAGTCTTCTATTTCAGATAAAGATAAAATAACGACGTAGTTTTTCCACAACTAAACTTTTTTCACTGCCCACAGAGTTTAGAGAAAAGTAACTTTTGAGTTTTTCAAGTTTTGCAATTTTTATAAAATAATTATACTGCTTTAAAAAACTGAGAAAAGTATTGCAAGCATAGAAAACGTTATTAAAACTCCTCTTCTGGCAGCAACATTTTTGGACGTTCAATGACTAACTCAATGAAGGCACAAACCAAATTTAGACAGCTTTCTCATTACTTTATACATGACCAAATTCAAAGAAAAACTGGATAATGATAAAGATCCTTAATTCTTTAGAGAAAAATTTAATCCCCCCCCCAAAAAAAAAACACTTTTAAAAACCTCTTTCACTCTTGTCTATAAAAAGGTGGGTGAGTTTGAACAGTTTTCTGGGGCAGAACACAGCCCCCCTTCTATTTACTGGATCAGAAGTTCCGGATCTCACCCTTCAGCACGACAGGAGCCAGCTTGCTGTCACTTTCATTTTTTTCTTCTGTGCTCTCCACGCCCCCCAGGCTTGATCCTTAATGCCCCTCTTATTCTGATCCTCCCATGTATTAATCGAGAGGATTGGAAAAAAGGAAAGCAATCCCTTGGCATGGAGACATTAAAGTGACAGTGCGACTCAATGGGCACTTGATGCAGGATGAGTTGGCGAAGCAGATTTCTTCACACTGGAGTCATTCACATCATGCCATGTCTTCGCATCCAAGCAGCTCCCTATCCGGCGAGGAAAAACACTGAGAGTGTTCAGGGGGAGAAGCCAAACCTTCCCCCAAAGGTGTTTTCAGAGACGCCGTAGTAGTATTAGACATGTAAGCATAAGCTGTGCAAACGGTCCGCGATTTTCTAAATGAGACAGTGGCAGCTGCTTGGCTTTCACATCCACCCTTTCTTTCAATCTCTCTTCAAACTACCCACCTTCCTTTTGCAGAAAAGACAAGACATTTCTCTGCCACCGCTGGCCACCCCTGCCCACAACCCGTTCTTTTATAGAAGAGCACTGAAATGTCCTGCACCCTCCATGCGATGAAATGTTTCCTCAGGCAGGAGAAACAGCAGCACAAGAAATTATATAACTCTCGAATTTGGCTTCTCTAAGACATGGAGACTGGAGGGTCGGGGGTTGACGGTCTGGGAGATACTGCTTGGTTTTTAACGTGCACAGAATAGTGCCAGGCCTCCTCGCAGTCCCTCCCACCCCGAAACACAGGCTGACAAGTGAAGTGGGTCTTCTAGGGGGATAAGGCGCAAATTTCTCTCAGGTCGCTTTCCAAGCGGGGCGAAAGGATGAGATCTGAGGGGACTACAGACTGGAGGGAGTCAGACGGCTGCGAAAGGAGGAGGCTAGTCAGGGCCGCTCCGACAGTGCCGGGCGGCCGCCGCGGGGCTCTGAGCAGGAGGCGCCCTGATGCGAGCCTTAACCCCAACACAGGGCCAGGTCACAGGGGTTAGCTCTTTCAGGGAGTGAAAGGGGCGCGTAGCTAGTCCCCAGCTAATGAAACTGCCCTAAGGACAGGCCAGCGCGCAGCAACATTCCTGCGCTCCGGCCGCCCCATGTTCCCCTCTGGACCGGAGGAGAAGAGGGAGCCGGGCTGACAAATAGAAGGGGGAGGAAATAATAAGCGTGGGGGCGGGTCCACAGGCGTCTGGACCTTGTTGAAGCCAATGAGTGGCCGTAATTTCGGGACATCACGTCCAATCACAGCCCGGATGGAGGGCGCGGCGTTTGACTGAGTGGGGGCGGGTCTGGGCTGCCAGCTGGAGGTGTGAGCTGTAGGACAGCACCACTTCCCGCCCAGGGCGTTCTGGGTCCCCGCCCACCTGCAAGTCACGTGAGCCACCAAAATGGCGGCGCTCGGGCGTGAGGCTGGTACTGACCCGAAAGATGCAGGTGTGCTATCACTGGGATCTGGGGAAATGCCCAAGGTAAGTGGAAACCCGAGGTGGTGTGGGCCATGATTTCTGCAGCCTCAAACTATTAACAGACTTTTCTGAGATGATTCACATAAAGGGGATTGAAAAGCTGAAAGAGTACTGCTCCCAAGTCTGTGCAAGGCAATCAAAAGTCCCCAATTGCAGCGGAAAACAGAAAGGATCAATAGACGATCTGGAATCTAGCCCTTATTATATGCAGCTTGTTTTTTCTTGTCCCGATCTTTGCAGGCCTTTTCGTCAACTTAGAATATATTCCTGCTACACTTTCTTGTCTCACCCTCCCAAATTGTCCCCATCCCGGGAGCCCCAGCCCCTCTTCATGTCTGTAGCTCAGGGTACTATATAAGCTTCAGACATCTGGCCCTTCTTCAGGTCTCATATTTTGTGGGACTCCCATGTGTACATAAGTAATTAAATATGGCTTTTCTCCTGTTAATCTGTATTATGCCAGTATAAAGCTTAGCCCAGCAAAAGAGCATAGGAGGGAGAGGAGAAGCCTTTTTTCCCTCCCTAAAAGAAGCAAACTTTATATAATGTTCTTCAGTTGCTATTTGAATGAATATTCAGTACTTGAATAAAGCATGTTTTCTCTAAGAATGTAATAGCATTAGATAAATATTAAAAAAAAAAAAAAAAAAAGAATATATTCCTGCGCCTATCCCTCCCAACTTCCCCACCAAGTTCCTTCTTGGTGGGGAACTAATCACTTCTCAGGTGATTAGTTTAGATGGCACTTCCTCCGGGAAGCCTTCCCACACTTCCTAATTAAATTTTCCTATAAGTTGTTGAGGTTTATTTATTTATTTATTTTTGACATCCTCATTCTGCGTTTAAATTCCATGTTTTGTTTTGTTTTGTTTTTCCTGACCTCTTGCTAGTTTGGGGCTTCCTGAGGACACTGACTTTTATCTTAATTCCCCAGGCGACCTACATATGCCAAGTGCTCCATAAATGATGAGTGAATATTAAATAAAATTCTGAAGGTCTGGTGAAATAATTAACATAAAGGCTTTGCAGACTATAAACCTAAAAGCTCTGTTGCTGACATAAGCGTGATGACCAATTGAGTGGCCTTGGCTTAATTTTTAGATAAAATGTTGGTTATACTTATCAAAAGGTCAGGGGAGATACCATGATCAGGAAGGTGGTTTTCCCAAGGCAAGGCTTATCCATTCCACCACAGATGGGCTGACTCCTGCAATTTCTCCAAATGTGGGAAACTCAACCCCATAATTTGTGAAAATGGAGAACTGCTATCATGCTCTTCCCTGGTAAAAATATTTAGAAAAAGAAAAGAAAAAGGTGTTATAGCAAATCTTTATATTTTAAACTTAAAATGAAAGCAGGCCATTCTTTTGACAGTGCCTTGCAACGTTTAGGGCCAACACTCAGTACATGTTTGGTGTCCTGTTTTCAGTGTTTCAGTATTTAATGTCCTGTAATCATGATTCTTTTCCCTGTACAGAGGTTAGGTGTAGAAAACCTAGATTTAAGTCTAGTTCTTGAAAATTGCAATTTGTAGAGGTCCCTGCCCCCAGTCCTCTTCAGATAGTTTAAAGAAAAAGCAGTTCTGAAATGAATGGTCCAGGGAAAGAAACACTCATTATGTAACACCATAAGATGGTACAAAGAAGCCCATACCTTCTGGATGTTGATGCTATGGCCAAATGAGTAATACAGATACTCAGCGTGTTGTGTGTTTATTGACTACAGCATCAGGAGCACTTGGTACTACAGGCTTCACCCTACCTCTGTTGAATCCTGATACCTCTGGAGGAAGTTCAAGAGACTGCATTTCAAACAAATACTCAATACAATTCTTGTGCACACTTAAGGTTGAAAACCACTGTTTTATGAAGTATCCTCTGTGTTCATTATGCTTAGTCCACTCTAATTCTTTTGCCTAGGACTCTTTAAATTTGAAATTTAATATTTGTCTTGACTATAAACGTTAAAAATGGAGACTTGTGTAAATTTGTGAAAAGCCATCAATTTTTTCTATCTATTTAGCTAATCCGGAAGAAAAAGTACTCAATTTTGTATTAACAGCCCCTCCACTTACTATTGTAGTAAACATTTGCAACATTTGGATTTGCAAGAAGTGTCCATATTTCCCTGTTTAAATGAAATTAAATACAACCCTTGATCCCCACAATGCCAGAGTGGCAAAAAAATGTAACACATGTTATTAAGACTTTGTGCAGAGACCTGAGAGCCTTACCCAGAGCAAACAATTCAGAGAGTATCTTGTCTGAGGTTGCAGGGGGGTTTTTTTGTTTGTTTGTTTTTAACCTCATTAGTTTCTGTGAAGATAGTACTAGCCAACTGGGCACTCCTTTATGTTCCGTGGACGTTGTCAGTTGTCATGCATACCACATAACTATTTCTAGCAACGGCCCTTCTTTCACTTCAGGTGCTGATAGGGAACTAGATGTATAATTTATATAGTCCGGATGATATAGGGCCTGACACATTACTATACTATAAATATTTTTAATCTGAATCTGTAGAATTTATAAGATCCTATTTAATATTAATATCTAATACCATTAGTTATTATGGCTCTGGAATTTTGTGTTTTCCAGGACATCAAGATGGCAGCATCTGTTCAAGGTCAGCCTGGTTCTTTTCTAGGAGATACAAAATTCAGAAGACCAATGATCATTGAAATCATAGAAAAAAAAATTGAATGTCTTAAAAAGGAAATGTAAGAGATACATCCAATCTGAAATTAAGTAACTATATGCAAATCTTTTGTACTGCTATTTTTTCTAAGGAGTATTTAAGATCTGATTAACGTGATTGAGTTGGTTATGAAGGAAACTTATTGAAGAGAACTGGAGGGAAACATGGACAGATGAAAATAGTGGCTTGTTAGGATATTTAGGATTATGTATAATTTCATTTACTTAAAAAATGTCCAAAATTGGGCTTGCAGTGGCTCACACCTATAATCCTAGAACTCTGCGAGGCCAAAGTGGGTAGATCGCCTGAACTCAATTCAACACCAGCCTGAGCAAGAGTGAGACCCCATCTCTACTAAAAATAGAAAAATTAGCCAGGGCATCATGACAGGCACCTGTAGTCCCAGCTACTCAGGAAGCTGAAAGCTTGAGCCAGGAGTTTGAGGTTGCTGTGAGCTATGACGCCATGGCATTCAACCAGGGGTGACAAAGTGAGACTCTATCTCAAAAAAAAAAAAATAAAGTCAAAAATTATTGCTGATTCATTTTCTATAATATATATTTTAATTAGTAATTAGGAGAAAAGCACTGGAGGGGGTATTTATACTTAACTGAGAAGCAATTATAATTCATCAGTTTAGGATTGATTATCTCAGCCATAGTTCTTACTACAGTGAAATGCAGATTTCATGGACCATATACAGTCTGACATTATCATTTTGACTTTTAAATGAATAATAGAGCTTAAGAAAAAATCAGAGGACAGATGATCTTAAACCTTAGAAATCTCTGGATTTAGGTATGGGTCAGAATAAGAAAATTAGATCTATCATATCTCTTTGGATGAGGTTTTATAAATCCTAGAGAAATTATTTTAAATGTGTCTGGGCTAATTAAGAAATAGTTATTTTCTAGAAGACCTAACCAAATGTAAACAGCATTTTTTAGATGACCTTAAGCAAATTAGTTTTTAATAGCAGGAAATTTTTGGATTTAAGTAGTTCACCAAATTTGGCTACATTGGAACATATATTTATTTGTGGCCAAAATTCTGTAAAGGAGCTCTATTTTAGAATCACCTTACGTCTTCTCAGAAAGAGAATCATAAGGTCCTATTAGAATGCAAGTTCCATGAGGAATGAGCATTGTTTTCTCTTTTGCTTTATTTACTGCCCTATCTCCAGCACTTAGAAAATATTTTCACATAGTAAACGTTCAAGAAATGTTAGAGAGAGGGAGGAGCATGGGGGGAAGAGATGAGAAGGAAAGAAAACAAGAAACAGAAAGTGAGAGAAGGGATAATAAGGGGCGGGGGGGAGGAGATAGAAAAGGTGTGAGAAAACATCATGGCATCACCAAAGAATGAAAGTATTCTGTTGAACTTAATTTTGCTTTTCATTTTTTCTATTAGGACATTTAATGGAATGGGAATGGTGCTCTTTGGAACAACAGCTGGATCCTCTGGAATACTGGCAAATTTCATTTTTAGACACTGCTTTAAAGTTAAACATGGTGCTTTGAAAACATATGCATCATTGATTACGCTTCCATTTTTGTCTACTATAGTTGCTTACAAGCTCTTTGTAACAGATGCTTTATTTTATTCAGGTAAATTTAAATTTACAAATATGTAATGTAATTATGTCTAAATAAAGATAGTAATTTAACATATACTATTGCTACTGCTAATACTAATCCCTTACATTTATATATTGCTGCACCACTTACTTACAAAGTATCTTCATAGGTATTGTCCTATTGATCCCCACAACAATCCTCCCAATTAGGCAAAGTAATTTACTGTTTCTTTTTTACAGATAAGCAACTCAGAGGCATGTTCAAGTGAATAGGAAACAATATAATATACTAGACAAAGAATAGACTTTAGTCATATAATACACATAATTTCATTTATGTATATATGTATTTATTTAGAGACAGAATGTCCCTAGGTTGCCCTCAGTAGAGTGCCATGGTGTCACCACTTACAGCAACCTCAAACTCTTGGGCTTAAGTGATTCTCTTCCCTCAGCCTCCCAAGTAGCTGGGACTACAGGTACCCACCACAATGCCCAG